CATCTATACTTGTACGCAACCTTTGCATTTATTCTTACTTATATATGGTCAGTTTAATCCAAATAAACAATGTTTTATTTTGCATCGTACGGAATCTACAACAAATCTGTGCTTTGAATATCTACAATTATATCCATCCGGACGAGACCTTGCATAATTTAATAATCGAACGAGCTTACCGTGAAGTTCGATTGTAATTATGCTGTCTCGTCCGGATGGAGAATCCCTCCCCCCCTTTTTTCTTTTTGTTCTATCCCATTTTCTCCGGATTTGTTGACTTTGAACTAATGATGATCGTCAAGACAACGGGGCGCAGCCTGAGTGCAGGCAGGTGGCGCCCTTTTTGAATTTGTCTTCAAAACCTGTTGAGGATAGCGCAGCGGAACGCTACTACAATTATATCCATCCGGACGAGACAGCATAATTACAATCGAACTTCACGGTAAGCTCGTTCGATTATTAAATTCTCATTACTATATTTTTCAATTAATTATATTAATCGATTGCAATGCGATTGATTTATTATGCCCTCTGAATTCAAAATGCTTAATTTTAGGAATTAATGGAATCTGATTGGAATTAATTGGACATTAATAGGAATTCGAGCATATAATGGTATACTCGATAATATTCGGAATAATTAATAAAATACTCGAATTCTTTTCTTTTTTTTTTTCGAATCAAGCAACTGACAATGGGTTAAATTTAGAGAGTTATAATTATTGTAGCATTAAGCGCCTTGCATAATTATATTTATGAAATTCAGCTGCCTGAACAAATTTTTAATCGCGTCGAGTTAATAATATCTCTCTGTAAGGTAAAGCCTTCTCCAACAAATATCGGATTAAATATTCCGTTGGAAAAAACTGCTGCATTATCACTCGCGACGGGACGGTCTCGTCAGTTTCTGTGTAAACTCCGTGTAAAGTCCGCAGTCTTTCATCATCAACACCGACGACTAACCGAGACAATGCGCGATGTGGAGAGAAAATGTGGGAAAGACACCGGAAGAATACACCCTGTTCGTGTCTGTATGTGTCGAGAAGAGAGTCGGTGGATTATAGGAACAGATTCGTTAGAACGCTGTAACACAGTACGGACACACAGAAGACGGTGGTTACCATTTGCATCGGTATACTGATATTGACACCGGGCGTTTCCTCGTGCTCGTCGGGCCCTGACTGCTCGGTGCCCTTCGACCGGGTAGCGTTCGCGACTAACGCGCCGTTCTCATTGTTAGTTTTCGTTACGAGATCGGTCGTTTGGGAACGAATCGTGTATTCCTGCGCGCTGCGGCCCGCTACGCGGTCTTTACGGTCGCCGTCGTCGTCGTCGTCGTCGTCGTCGTCGTCGTCATCGTCGTCGTCAACGTCGTCGTTGTCGACGTCGTCGTTGTCGAGTATCACCCACCCGTTCTCGTCGATGCTGCCCGTGCTATCCTCAATCCTATCGATCCCCCTCGCATCGGTCCCGACGCCTTCGATCGGCGAGGTGGTCCGGTCAGACTCGCTCTCAGACTCGTCTGAGATCAGCCATCCGTTTTTACCCAGACTGCTCTGCCTGTACACGCGACTCCTGGGTAAACTCTCGCTCGCGGGAACCATCTCGGCGTCGTCGACGGTGCTCGACTGCGCCGAGGAGTCCTCGAGATTACTCCATATGCCGTCCCGTCTCTGCTCGGCGATTCGTGCAATAATTTCTTCGTCGTGAGTCTCGGTTGTGTCGTTGGAGCCGACAGCGTTTGCAGTCTCTGCGCTTGGTTGTTCGCCGGGATCGTTCGTGGATCCGAAGCTCGACGGGGCGATCGCGGACACCGTTCGTAGATCCGTTTGTAGATCCTGTTCCGTGATCACCCAGCCATTGTCGTCGAACATCTCCTCGATGCTCCTCTCGTCGATTATTGAGGCGCTTCGCCGCTTCGGATCTCTCTCGTAGCGATCGTCGTCGGACGGCTGACTATTTTCGTCCCGAGTGCTCGAGTTAACACTCAACACCGTGGCTCCCTCGTCGCTTTCAGAGCTCGAAGAACCTTTGTTCTCCTCGCCGGTCTCGTTTTCCGCACTATCTTTATTGCCGGAATTTTTATCCTCCTTCTTTTCCTCTTTCTTTTCATTCTTCACATTACAGTTCTCATCCCGTGACTCGTCGTCCTCGATTTCCTCTTCGTTCTCCTCTTCGGAATCGCTTTCGGAATCACTGCTCGATTCGCTATCGGACACCGTTTGTCCGTTGAAGGAACTCGAACATTCGGAGATGGTCTGAGAATCTTTGGACCTCGATCGATTTCTGTGCTCGTCGATCGATCGACTCACAAGATCCGGCACAGATTGTTGGGCAACCGTCGCGTCGACATCCTCGATGACGATGCGAAAGAAACCGGCGGCGGCGCCGGCGTCGTCGGACTCACGTTTCTCGCACGTGATTATATCGCGTTCTCTCGTCTCGGAATTGTCGTCGGTCACGAGAGTCGTAGACTCGTCCCGGCCGAGACCGACGACTACCAATGAGATCTCATCGTTCCCGGAACGACCTTCCACTAACGTGTCCTCGTCTCCGGACGTCTCCGCCACGCTCGCTACTCGATTGCCTTCGCGGTTACTCCCGAGCTGACTCTCGGGTTCGCTAGTGATCGCGAGATGGGAGGAGGTGGATGAGGTGGTCGATTTGTCGGTGTCCGTAATACCGTCCGTTCGTGCCGAGCTAGCGTATGTCGCCTGCGGTTTACGTGCGTCTTCGTCGACGTTAGCCGTGCGATCCGCGATCGCGGCCGCGCTTACTGTATCGTCCTCGACGCGATCCGGCACGTACCACGGTCTCACGGCGTCGGTGCCGTCCGCGCTAAACGCCCTAAAACGATCACGGTCGGTACGGGGGTTACTGGAATTAGAAGTGGCTTCATCATGAGCAGTCGTCTGACCGTTTTGTGCTACGTGCGCTACGAACCTGCTGGTGTAGCCGCCCGGCGTCGACGTCGTCGTCACCGCGCCGCTCGGCGCCGTCATCGTCGTTGTCGTCGTCACGGATTGCGCGGGGCTCCCCCTCGGCGACGAATACCTGAGACACGAGTGATCGGTCGGATCTTTCCTTATTTTTGGGGTTTGGCTATTATTACTTCTAAAGGCAGCGTCTCCAAGGACGCGTTATTTATCGGATGACGCTAGACTTTTTTTTTTCTCCTTAAGATTTCGATCACGTTACTTCGGTTATTAGATCAATTTCTTCGGGATTAAGTGCCTTCTCTCAGAATGGAGACGTATTTAATAAGTTTTGATAATATTACTCTGTGCTTCAAGCTGATATAATTTTCAAACATCGTCTAGACTGATTTTTTCTTCTATAAGAAATAATCTATTGTTATACGAATATAACATGACGTTTACAATTTTATTTTCTTAATCACAATAGAATTTAATTATCAATATAACTAAATTAAAATTATTTTTAATTAATTTTAATTAAAATCTTTCAACTTTAAGTTAAAATATTGAAACATAGTATTAAACGTTGAATGCGTAATTAATTAAAAAATTATTAAAATAAAGGTTGATCGATCTTCCAGATGAAAAATGGTACAACAATCTATTACGCGCTTCGCAAGTGCGAACGCGTGCTCGCGGTAGAACTTCCTAATATATTATAATTCATCGCCAGGCTGGACGGCTAATCAGTTTCCGCAACAGTACGTGGGAAGTTTCTGATAGCAGCAAGCACGATAGGAAACGGCCCACGTGATTCTTTTACAAAAGCCGGTGGGAGTCGCGGCCAGAGAGCACTTAGCCGCTCTCTCTCTCTCTCCTTAATCTCCCAACATTCCTCGTTTTCTTAGGCCACAGTTTCGAGCGAGGAGAATCGCGATTGTCGAGGAAAAGCTCATTTCAAAATTCAACGCGAGTGAATGCGGTTCGTTGATAACTTCCGACTGCGGCGAGGGAGAGAACGTCGAGCATTGCGTGTTTGCAATGCTGCCAGTCTCGTAACGAGCGCAAATAAACATGGAAACGCACGGATGAAAGCTTTGCGATAGCTTGCGAGCAGCGAATGCGTAAAAGTGAACAACACCGGATTCTTTTAATGATTGAAAGTTACGAGAATAATGAGAAGAAGAACATGATTGCCTCAGAGCTTAATAACCGTATGTACTTGAATCTCTATTATCGAACTCGAGCATCGAAGAAGACGAAGAATAATAAGAACAAATTATACAAATAAAAAATTTTTAATAGAAAAACCTTCAATAGCAAATGTTATATTCTTGTTGTCATGATAGGCATAATTTTTGTAAAAACGTCTGAATAATTTTGTCTCTGTATTTTTAATTGTTTATTGATTTTTTAAAATTATCACTGTGAATAATTTCTCCATCCATATTTAATAACATTATGAATTAGTGGACGTTTGAATTGAAATTAACCATCAACTGCTGTGATTAAATGTTTATAATTATATAATATCAGCTCAAATCCGATAAATAAATAAAGTTATTTTTCATGTTAACGAGTTGAAAAGCAGCATAAATTCAACTTTTTTTATTTATAATCGATAGGAAACATAATCACACGTTAAATTCTTATTATGTAAAATTTTGAAGACAGTTTTCAAAGTATATTTTTCTTGAAATTAAAATAAGTATCATTGGCAGTGAACAGTTGAGCCTCTCTCGAAAGATCTATCTTTAGAATTTAAAAATACATATATTACTTGCCTGGTGGAAGGCGAATCTTCTTTGCTTCCTCTTCTAGCTTCTGCGCTGCGAGCGAGCAAGGGCCCGATGTCGGTGCGCGCCATAGCAGACTCATTTCTCTGACGATCTTGGGAAGTGGCGGAAGTTGCGGACGGGGTAGCGTTGGACGGATGAGCGTCCGTTTCCGACTCCTCGGTGTCCGATTCCGTTTCCTCAGAAGAACTGCTTGTCTCTTCGTCATCGTCCTCTTCCTCTTCCTTCTTCTTTGTGGCTGGTTCCTCACGCGGAGTCTGAATTGGCGGTGGAGGAGCTGCACGATTACCTGAGAAACATAAAATGTAAGTGTCAATACAGCTTTGCATATATTTATTTTCTCATTTCGCAAAATCAAATAAAGTAATTTAAAATTACGTCTACATTTTTCAATTCATCATCCTTAATCGTTTTCTAACAAGAGGCGCAACAAGATGTCGAATGCGACAAGAATCTATAATAATATACTTTCAAAAATTTGTCTTTGTGTCGTTCGGAATTATTCCGCATTTCGCGAGAAAATTGTACGATAGCTTCAAGGAAATATCGCAGTGTCGTGCTGAGAGAAACAGTCACGGACAAAGGAAACGGTGACAGACAAGGTGTTGAGGACTTGTCGCGGTGCATAGAAATGCGCGTTTGTGCAATATCACGTGTAGGAATGGGGGGGGGTGGGGGTGGTCTTTCGCCGGAACCGTCTACGTGTTCGCGGTTGACGGAAACACGATGAGAAAGCGGACCGATCATATCGATCGGCGGTGATATGGCGGTTGGAAACGGGGGGTAGGCGACGCGGATATCGCCGTCCGCGTGTCTCGCCGACGGCGAAACACGTCACCTCCGACTTAACACGCGCGCGGGCTTCAGCGGAGATGGTTGACGGCAGCAGGACGTGGCGTTCGGAAAAGCGGACCGACCACGTTAACTAAGAGCGCTGGATGGATAATGCAATTACCGAGCCGCGCACGTTCTGCCGCGCCGCTGTGCTCGCCGTTCACAGTGCCAATTTCAGCTTTCGAATCTTGAAGTATCGCTCGCACGCTCGGCTCGGCGTCACCGTCGCATTTGCGAATTGCAACGTTGTACCGCGGTCGCAGCGATGCTCGGCATAGTTGTATTTTACGCACTCCCTTCGCATACGAGATTAGAGCCGTTGTAATGGACATGCGAGCATTCGCGATTGAACATGGAATGCCTTTTACACTGAACGCGACGTTCACTTGTCACTTCCGTAAATGGTCGAATACTTCTCTTAAATTTCTTTTGAAATTGAATTTTTTATTAGAACAAATATTCACATATTAAATATTTAACTCATTAAATAAAAATATTAAGAAATCATTCAAACAACATAATACTTTTTATAGTTCAGTGTTGAAACAGTAATTTTCTAAAAATGCTTCGTTTAAAATATCTAAATTTTTAATAGTGTGTTTGTAGAGGATTCGATATCACATTTTTGAAGAAGGAAAAAGTTTTCCGTTAAATTAAGTCTGCGGAATTAAAAGCGAAAGGTTAAACGCAAATTTGTCCGTACATCCAATTTACGCGAGGATGCTCGACGGGGTGCTGTGAAGTACAATAGGTACGCTAGACGGGATTGGCGTGCGAAGCGAGCAGAGACGTGCTTTCGATTCTCTTCGCGTAAACAATAGGTAATAGGCGCACATAGGTCGCCGGAAATTGGGACGTACTGCGAATGGAGCAGCTTCTAACTGCGAGCGCTATAAAAGGGTTCTAATCTTCGATTACTATCCGTTGTGCATTGTTCCTTATGATTCCCTGTGACATGTACGCGGTGGCAAATTGTATGCGCAAGCGGCACTATTTTATACCGGTACTGATTGATAGTACATGCATCCATTAAATGACAATAATTTCCCTTTTCGGAGAGAAAATCCTTTTGGTGGAGCAATTTTTAGTAGAGAAAGCCACAGTTAAATATAAGAGTTTTATCATTGATTTCGTTATGTTAATAACAACAAATTTTCTTTTTCTACGTTTATAATAAAGTTTATAAATATTGTTGTGTCAACAAGTTATCAATATCGAAAAGAATGAAAATTTCTCAACTAAATAAAATATCGGAACATTTCTATCGCAATAAAAAATTTCATTATTTTTTAGAACGTCATATACAATTTATATTAATTTTCAACTTTGCTGTATTGTCTGTTTCAAGAGCGCCGAGTCTTAAAAATTACATTAATAATTACCTGCGCCTAAAAAACGGCTCTGAAACGGTGCTCTGGATGTCGGCGCGGTGGTATTCGACGACTCCTTAACTGCAGTGGTGATTGCAGTCGGCCCCGACGAGATGGTGGTCGTCGTGCTGGTCGGAGGCGCTCTTGACAAGTATTTCTGCTTCATCTCCTCGGTTGTAAACGGCGCACCCGTGCTGCGTATTCCCGATCCGGCCGAGCTCTCGGAGCCGGTGCTCGAGTCCGACGAGGCACTCCTGGCCGCAGGGGGAGCGTGAGTTTCCGCCGAAGTTCTCCTGCGCGAGAAACGTTATTACAAACAAGTACGTTAATAACGGAAGCGAGAGAGAAGAGCGGAAGAGGGAGGGGGAGAGAGAGAGAGTGCTCGAACCAAGTTACTTGTTTACCCCGTAACAACGTCGCGCCGTGAACTCCTCGCCTAAGTCCGATATGAACGCGAATGCTGCTAGCCGGCTCGCAAATCTCGCGGTTACCACTGGCGTGATTAATATCTGCGTGAGCAAGCACGCCTTCGGTCTTGCGTCCCTTCGGGGACCGTGCCGGTTTCTCATCTTGATTCCGGAGTTGAGGGAAATCTCAAGTTTCACTGAGAGACTTCCCTCCATCATTGTCGTCTTTATTTCTCAAGCGCGGTTTCAATGTGCGACGTTTCGAGTTTCATTTGTAAATTGAAAAGTTATTGCATCATCTCGCTTGTTTAATATTCAGCTGTTACGCGACTACGCATTTCGCAGATTATGATTAATCTCTCGCAAAACTCCTTTCGTCGTATCAGCATCTCGCTAGATTTATACGTCAGCTTTTGCAATAAAGTCTGACCAGTTTTTACCTGGCGATAGCCGGTCTGCGGACCGGCTGCTCCTCCGGTTCCCGCTCCGGAAGCTCCCTCGTCGGCGGCGGATGTACGGGAGCGGGCGTCGACGTCGGCTGCCTCTCCTCCACCGTCTCGGTGAAGGGGGTTGTGGTGGCGGCGGTCGCCGCCGCGCTCTTGTTCTGCTTCTTGATTCTGGAGATCTCGTCGTCCTCGCTGGTCTGCCTCGCCACCGCTGTCGGTAGCTTTCTCACCTGTACCTGCGTAATCAGAAAATTATTCATGGCAACAAAGGCTGCAAGCGTGTGCCGCCGCGATCGCGCGCAATTCGGTCTCGCCCGTCTCGCCCCCCCGCAATCTCCAATCTAATCGGCATTTCCCCTTAAGCCGAGGGAGTATTTTACGATCAGAAGTGTCTCTGTTCGCGCCAGCCGTTCGTTCGCGTCGCGCGCGATTTATTGGAACCGCGCGATCCGCACGTGCATTTAAATGCAACGTTATGGGGTGTGCGCGCGCGCGCGCGCGCGCGACGTGTGCGACAGGTGGCGAATACGTGGATCGGCGCGGCAATTATAGAATGTGATCTCCCGCGCTCGCGAGTACGTAGCGACGTGTGCGAGCAGGTGTGCGTAATACGGGATTAAGTGGATGGCGTAATGACGAAACGTAATAAAAAGTGTAAAATCATTGTATTGTTATCTCACTCGTAGGATTTCATACAAAATACAATATTCGTGAAAGCGTATATATATATATATATATTACTCTCTCCCTCTCTCGCTATTGTCTACGCCCTAACTAACTATATACACACGCATTGTTAGCTATCTACCGGTATGTAAAATCATAGAAAATTAACGCTACACAATTTGTGTAATGATTGGCACTTTGTCGGATGCATTCGTAGAAATGACACTCATTCGTATACTTAATAGTACTCGATATAAATCATCATAGACAAAGGTAACGGTCCTCATCACATGTACGAGCTAATGTTTGCGTTTGTACGTGTTCATTGAGCTTTTTAACACCAGCCGCTATCATCCGAACAATGGGATGCGCGACATCGAACAAATTTCGTTCGTTGCACTGGCCGTCAGCATGGAGAGTTCGTGCCCATCCGTTTATTTCTCCTGCCATATTAAGGGATTCCTTGCGCAAAAGTGCGGAGGTATCACTGTCAAAAATAAATACGATGTCGTCAAATTCACGATCCCCGTGCTCACTCGTGTTCTTAATTAATTAGTTTCATAATTTATTTATTATTCACTATTAGCTCTCTCGCGATCAAAATTAATTAATCAAATAACGTTTTATTCACTCGCTATTAGCTCGCGATCGAGATTAATTAATTAATTCAATAATTAATTAATCATTAGCTCGTAATCAATTGCAAAAAAATTCAAGACTCGCGTTATTCAGTATAATAACATTGAACTCGAAATTTTCTCATTATTTTTGTTTTTACACACACATAGACAGAGAAATGTGTAGAAAATTATACCAACAAATACTTCTTTGCTACGTAAAGTCGTTAATGTTATTTGAATATCTTGTGTTTGCGTATTTTCAAACCTTATCAAATTCGAATCTACTACAATAACTCGCTTGCTGAGCTTTTCGTAAAAATACATGCAAGGATGATTTCACAGCGTTAATTGATTAAACTGGCGACTATAAATTGTCTGTATCATCGACGTCTAGCCCGTTTAAATATTGATGCGACGCGGCAACGTACGCCCCAGCGTGGCATATCGATAAGCAGGAAGAATGGTGATTAAATTCACTGATACGCCTCTGCGGGATGTACATTTTTCGTGTGCGAAAAAATTTTTGCCGGCCAGTAGGTCCGCATATAAATGCCGGACGATTTCACAATCGTCCAATTCAATCAACTGAGCTCTCTCCGTGCTGCATCAACATTTAAAATATGAACGTCGAGGGAGGAAAACAAATGGGTCAATGGTGAAACCATGTGCTACATCGGCAAAAAAAAAACACGGCTGTCTAGTCGGGAATTGTTTGTCGATTAATACGGTCCCGTTGATGTGAATAAATTTTTATAAAGTTATCGCGCTATCACACGTAACGGCAATACATCAACAACATTGTCGTTTATAACAATAATCACATTTATGTATTCTATATTTTTTTGGTGTAACTTTGCAAGGATTTCACGAACATCGAAATAATGGCATTTTGTTGGGGACAGTTATGTTTCTAGTACAGAATTTATTATAACGGCGAATATTTATGGAAATTGAAACAGGTAGAAGGCGAAAGATCAATATAAGACTTGACCTTAAAAGGGCTTATACGAAGGACTACAAAAAAAGATTCTACGAAGGACTAAAAAAGGTCCCTTATATAGGATATAAAAATGTATTCCGTATACATATGAAAAATGTGTCTGAATTACGCTTTCAGCCTATACTAAATTTTTATCCAACGGCTATACATATCCATTTATGCATCGAGCATAAATTTATTTTGTCTTTTATTTCAATATCGAGATTGCTTTGAGCTTTTCAAACAAAATTGTTATTTATACTATTATAAATATTTGTACTATTATCAATATTGTTAAAAGTAATTGATGTATTAAATGTATTCGACAAATAATTAAAATATTTATCATAAAAATAGAGAGAAATATGTAGAACATGTACTTACCAAGCAATGTACAGCAATTACATTATACTCAAACTCTCATTAACGAACCACCGTATTAAATGTGATTTATGCAAAATCAGCAAAATTATTTCTTCGATTGCAATTAAGCAGCAATTAATTCTTCTTCACCGTTTAATAAATTTTAAATCAATATTCCTTTTTTTTTGCAATTATCGCAATCCGAGTATTTTCAGAACAATGTATTATGCGCCATTAAATACCTTCAAGTTAATGAAATGTCCACAGCTAAGACAGATCGAGTTTTCAATTTGTAAAATCGACCTCAAAGTATAAAGTCGCATTTATACGTTTATAAATTTTGATCATAAATTATGAATTTAATATGTATATTCGATCCGTCCTAGTTTCGAAGGCGTCACACATGTACGCAAGATTTTCAGAAACATGCTGGTCTCACCTGAGGTTTAGGTATCTGGGGCTGTTGCGTGGTTTGACTCGCCGGGTCCTCTTTCTTCCTCTTGCCGGCTCGCTCGCACTCCTGCAGCTTCTTCATGACTCGAGGCGAGTCGGTCAGACGAAATATACCGGACAGAGGACCGCGCGCAGCGTCCTCGGTGTCCAGAACGCGCTCTCGCAGGCCGGACGACTCCTGCGGCGTCGACGTGAATCTCACCGTCGATCTGGAATCGCCGTCGGAGTCATCGCCGTCCCGATGTCGCATAAATCGACTCCTGTATCTTAACTTGTTCCTAGGCACCTCGTATTCCGGCGCATCATACCTTGACACACAGCAGCGACATCGATCAATTCGAATATTCAGAGACTCGCATAAATCTGAATAATCATTTCTCCAATTCATTGCGGTACCAACTACTCGTTTCCGACAATGGTTTTAATTGCATGCAAGCAAAGTAAATAATTCTATACATTTTATCGCGCAAAAAGAAAATTACAATTACTAATTATCAATTTATTTACAGTAGAATAATTCGAAACTCATGAAGCTCCAGAATTATTCACCAGAGTTTAATTAATTTTTAACAGAAATTGTTTAGTTAACATGTTGACAATAAATACAAAAATTTCTTATAAATCTTATTAATTGTTCCATTTTATTTCATATTATAAATGTGAGTACGCAATCTCTTTTGGGTATCCCTAATAAAAAATAAAGAAAAAGCACTCTTTATAAAACGGAAATGAATGGCGATGATGTTTATTGTTAATGGATTGTATAACAATTAGAACGCAACAGAATTTAATTCTTATGTGTGCCGATTCGATTTTGCTTATTGATATTAATTGTACGAGTGCTCGTTGAACAGTAAACAGAGGCGAGCGGGAGATTCAGCATATTTGACTGGTAGCAAAAAACGTTTCAGAGGTATAAACTCATTTCAACAATATTTGGCTTCAACAAAAACTGAATAAAAATGTATACATTTATCTCACGCAGTCAGAATATAAATATAAAGTAAACAAAATTATTTATAACGGCGAGAAAAGAACCAATATATTATTCTAAGGTGGATATACGATTGTAATGTAAGTAGACAGACATTGTCGAGTCAGACATTGCTAAGGCGCCAAGTATGAACTTGTATCGTGTAAATATAAAATAGATGTTTCTCCCTAAAGACGAATAACAACTTATCACTCTCGCGAGCAGTTCTCGCAAGAACGCGTGTCTCTGATATATGTCACTTGAAATTATGACAAGGGGCCAATGACAAGCCCTAGCTACGCTGGAGCACGACCTGCTTTATAGTCAGATTATCTCAGTTCGATTCGAGAGGACGTTCCGAGGGATTGTCGGTGACAGGGCGAAATGATATTAGAGCATCTCCATTTTCTCTCTCTACCCCCATATCATCTTCTCCGATATTCCCCCTCAGAGTGCGCTGATAGAAAACACCAAATTTTCGCCTTGCCTTTTCACCGGAATGCCGTTAACAACAGCGCTACGTGTTCTACTCTCGTTGCAAGAAAAAAGTTTGGTAAATATTTTAAGAATGCAAATTTAATAACAAATGTCAAAGTGCACTTTCAACAACAGTGCCATATTTCCTGATAGCAGAAAAAAAATATACGGGTAATTTTTTAATAATGCAGGTTTAATAATAAATATCAAAACATGCTTTCAACAACAGTAATCATAATTCATAACAACGCATATTTAATATTAAAGAACTGCAAATTGCAAATTAAAATTTGAATTGGATGTTTGTTGAGTAAAATTAAAAATTTCAAAAATTATAATAATATTAAAATACATGTACAATGAATGTTTCTATCAATTTTAGAAAAAAAACTTTTAAAAATATAAGATTAATTATTTATATTAAATAATACATTTTAGTTTAACAAAAAATTTCTTTCTTTGTTATAAATATAAACATCGCATAGTTTGAAATTGTAAAAATGGAATGTGCTGTTTTCTCTTTTTGTGTGTATGTGTGTGTGTGTGTGTGTGGACAGTAAGTCCTATAGAAATGACGTGCGGCTTACTAATCGATTTACGAGAATTGCGCTATACGCGCGACGAAAAATCGAAACCAAAAAAATAGAATCGGATAGACGGACGAAATCTATTCTTATTCAACGAGAACGGTTTTTGTCGAAAACCGCGGGAAAATCTGAATATGCGTCAGTTTTTTTAATCAAAATCGGCTTGAAGCGTCAGCAATCCGTCGGAGGAATTGCAATATCGCGTTCCACGAAATCCTCTGCTAAAAGTAACCTTGTTCACCCTTGTAGGGTTGCAATAAAATCCGTCTGAAGCGGATGGTCGAAGATAAATAATTAGACGCAAGCTTTGAGAGTTGACCGCTTTCAGATCCAAGAAGGGATGCTGTTATTAAAAAAGTTAATATCTTGCATTTTCAAGTGAAAGCCTTAAGAATCCATCGGCGAAAAATACTTAATCCTTAAAATATTAATTGTTTCTATAATGATATCATATTGCGAATATAAAACGCGATAAAACATTCTATTATTCTTTAACTATTATTTACAGTACTTTCTGTAACTTAGAATAAAAAAATGTTACATATATCTCTATAAGTTAACTTATAGAGATATATGTAACATAAATTATAATTATACATAAATTTTTAATAATTATTAAAAATTTATGTATTAAATAAGTAACAAATTCTTATTATTTTGGTAAGACTAAATAAAAATTATGTTTATGACATAATTTCAAAACTCCTCTCGATGATATGTATATTTTTTAATCGACAGCAATTTAAAAATGTGTGGAGATAAAACACATATTATGCAAATAGAATTTCTTCATTTTTTGTAATGCAGCTATCTGCATTTACACTGTTTACAATATTATAAAATATTATCGATTTTACGAGCATTTGACCATTTGACCATTTAGCTATATTTCCGTGATACGGTATCAGGCGCCGTCACGCTCCAAAACGTTGGCAAGAACACGCGCCAGGAATTGCAATGGCGATGACATGCATTTGTATATTTCGGCTTTTCACGCCGCGCAAAAAAAGAGGACGAATGGCACGCTCGCTTTTCAGGGTGTATTGTGAAAAAAGCACGAATAATGGAATTTTCGCTCGGATATCACAAGGCAAGTGTCACAAATAAACCACAACATGCGCACGTTTCGCACAGTGGAGATGCATCGGGATGCATTTACATTTCTGCGATATCTGATGCGAGCGCGACCGACAAATTGATGAGGCCTCCACATGACAAATAATTGTATTTTCTCCAATACTCGTATATATAAAACGATCACGATCGTCGTAATTATGTAACAGACGGATGGACGGGCGGCCGCGATTCCCGCATGTGAAGTAGGTCTTTGCGACTCCCCTGTTAATTAGTAAAAAGTACGTGCTTGCGCGTACCTAAAGTGTTTAATTTACATTTTGACGAGGCCGCTTAATAAAACGGCCCGACGGAAGGCGCTAACGACTAGCATTGCATGAAACAGACAGTAATTAAACCTGACGTGCCTATTCCGGGCAGAAGGTATCTTTGAGTTGGAATAGAAGCGAAAAGAGCAAGAGAGAGAGAGAGAGAGAGAGAGAGAGAGAGAGAGAGAAAAGAAAAAAATGAGAGAACGTCAAAACGTATTTATAATTTATACCTAATAAAACATGTGCAATATTTTCGATAAATGTACAATTTCTGCGAAAATGTTTTAAAATTACGAAGTAAAATGTAATTTTTATAATAGATTATAAATTTCCAATGTTACAGATATGAAAGGACTTAGTACACTGAAACGCGTGAGCTTCATGATCATTTCAATGCATTTTAAGAGGTGGATATTAATCGCAGCGCGCATATTAAAATGCTTTTACATACGGCTGTCGATTGAAATTATCATTTTATGTATACTAAAAATGTACTCCGCATTAAATATTCCGTTCAAATGTAATAATTAAAATGCAATATTTTTCCCTACGTTGCAACTACATCATTAAAATTGCAATAGTCGCAAATGATACTTTTGTATGGAAGTGTCATTTAATATCATGAGATTTTTATATAATAATACGAAAATTGAAGCTTGAAAAATAATTATGCGCGAAGAATAATGCGAAATTATGGCTGGTTTATGCTTCGGTCTTAATCTTAATCTTAGTCTTAGTCTTAACTTAATCTTAAGGACTCGTTTATGCTTCCCTGGAAATTCGGACTACGCATGTGCAAATGTAACAAAACCTAACCTAACCTAACCACAAATTGTAATAGATCCCGGTGTTGCAAATTATAGTGAATGTTAAAATGAATCGTCAGCGGCAAAAAACTTTAATGTTTGGAATGGCACTTTTGTTATCAAGTGCCTATGCAGCATGTGTATTATTAAGAAATTGAAAAAAAAATAAAAGAAAACCACGGAGATACGCTGTTCGGCCACTGAATCGAAAAAGACACAAAACTGGTCATTTCTTTTCTTTAATGAAAGATATGCTGAATACGATCAGGAACAATTTTTTAAATATACATGGATCGAAAACCATTATTTCGCGCGGTTTCGTGCTGCGTCGGACGTCAGACTTACCTCATTGGCCCGGCCTTAGGACATTAGGGACTAAAGTTAAAAGATGGGATCTTTCCAAGATTAAGATTAAGACTAAGATTAAGACTAGGGAAGTATAAACGCCCTTATGGCATTCTACGTTATCAACTCTTAAGATTAAGATTAAGACCGAAGCATAAACCGGCCATTAAATCCGAGCCGGATCAACCTGTTCGATGAAAATTACCAAAACTATCCAGGAAAAGTGCTGATCTTACAATTCGATTAATCCGATTGCCTTAATAATATAAATATGTATTTCCTAGATTGCGGAAAATAGGCACGTACCAATCATCGTCGTGCGTCGATGTGATGGCATACTTGCGCCGTTTATTATCTGCTACGTCAGCGCTCGGAATTAGTTGCACATTTCGGGCCAATTTAAGAGACGACGCCTCCTGTCCCCCCACTACCGCCCGGCCGCTGGCGGTCGAGCCGCCGATAGCTCTGACGCAGGAGCGTTTTCTATAAGAAATAGGCTCGGTTGTTGAGGCACCTCTCAAAAAATAGTAATATTTTCTTTGCTACATAAATAATGTTTATTTTCATTAATAATTAAATATATATATTATGTATTAATAAGAATAAACATTATTTATGTAGTGAAGAAAATGTTACGATTTCCTGAGAGATGCCTAAACAATCCAGCCTATTTCTAATATAAAACGCTCCTGAACCAGAGCTATCGGCGGCTCGGCCGCCAGCGGCCGGGCGGTAGTGGAGGGACAGGAGGCGTCGTCTCCAGAATCGGCCCGAAATGTGCAACTAATTCCGAGCGCTGAATTAAGGAGTTACACCACTTTGAAATTTTGAAAAAATCAATTTTGTTTTTTTTTGTTTTTGTTAAAATGTTAGTTTAGAGTCTTAAAAATATAATTTTATTCATCATTTATTCATCATTATTGAATTTTATACACAAAATATCGTTATAAACGAAACTTTAAACGCGTTTTTTTTTAAATAACATCTTTCAAATCGGCGTGCAAGATATCTTCTACAATTTTGATCCGATTCACATGAAATTTCAAGATAATCTTCTTTTTTGCATAATCTAAAGAAGTACATAGGGATTTTACGATATATTAAAAACTTTTTTACTACAAACATTTTTAATCAAAATTTTTTGGGTAAAAA